TATTAATATATTTTGTAATATACATAGCTGCCAACTTGTAGGACAGTTGATAAATAATTTTCGTAGTTGTATTAACATTATATGGTGTTTAGGCATATCACATCTTGAAGTTCAAAGTTTCAAAAAAAATGTTTTTTTAACTACCAGGACAAATCAATAATTAAAAAATATAGGCCGATAAGATCTATTTGTTGGCCAATTATGCTTATAGATGTCTTAATAAATTTGCTTTTAGAAACTTCTTTCAAACTTATAAATGTTTTTTTACTACAAATTAGTAAAATCTTGTACAAGTTGGCAGGGTATGAATATAGATTGACTTAAGTTACTAAATTTTAATACATTCACTAATAAAATTTATTTCACTCACTTGCAAATATCAATAATGAACTGTTTAGTACTGTATTTTTCAATTTTTAAAAATAATTTCTAAGAAAAAATTGTGTAAGAAAGAACATTATTATTTTATTGCATATAAAAAATTAGCTAAACTGAAATGCAAAAATTATAAAAAAAATCAATAATTATACAATTAGTTTAATTAGCACAGATAAATTTTATCACATCTCTTATTTACTTATTATTATATTATTTTTTGATGAAAGTGTTTAATTAAGATGCATGGATATTTAAACAGAATTTTTTATATAGATTATTTAGAGAGATAAAAGATAATTTTATATTTAGACGGATAGAGATAATTTAATTATAATAAATTAAAATAATAACTAAAATACATGAACTCTTTATTTTATTAAATGTTTTAAATTCAATACACATGTTTTGGTAAACAAGCATTATTTTCCACTAATATAATAGAAATCCTAATAACATAGCTATATATTTAATTTGTTAAAATGATATTGTTCAGTATTTCATTGTATATGATTAAAATGTTTATCAATACTTAATAATTTATTTAATAATTGTTTAAAAAATAAAGTTATTAATGAATTTCAACATTTATTTTTAAAATTATTTAACTCAATATCTCACAAAACAACCACAATATAAAATAAAATAATAATCAAGATAACATAAATAAACTTTATTATATTTATAATAATATTTTACAATATGTTCATTCAACTGGAATGCTGATTGAATAACACTCATAATACTTCACAATAATAATATGACAAATAATTTTAATAGTAAAATAATAAATTTTAATAGTGTAACCTTTCCTTTTTTGAATTTAAAAAGAAATAAATTAAAATTTTTACAAATAAATATTGATAAAAAATATCACTTCAAGAGTCAAGTTTTATTATTTTAAGTATGACATAATCCATATAGGGTAAGCATACATATAAGTTGTAAGCATTATCAATTTTTAATCTTTAATAGGCATAACAATAAAGAACTTCACAGCAATAATGTAAGATGTTCCTACATCATTTTGATACGAATAAAGAGTCACATATGATTGATTTATTTTTCATTTTAAATTCTGAAGCAATAAACTTTTATTACACAAATTAAAGTTAATTAAAATCATTGCTTCAAAAGCCAGACTTGCTTTTAAAATAATTATTGGCATAATTCTTAATGAAGTTGTAATTTAGTTCATAAATATTATTAAATAAATTTTGTAACCAATAATACAAAAAAAAAAAAAAAATTAAAAACACTATATATATCTAATTTTAAACATAATTCCTAATGTAATATTTTAAAAGTTTGAAATTTAAAATATTAAACAAAATCTAAAATTTTAATTATTTTACTAGAATAAACACTGCATAACTTTTTCAAATATTTAGATTTTTTTAAACAACTTTCATAAAACACTTTTAATAAATGAACATTCCAAGTAGAATTTTAAGTATAAAATATCTTTTTTATAATTCCAATAGAACAAATAATTCACAATCTAAAAGAAATTGACAATTTTAAGATAAAATTATCAATTCAATATGCACATATTTAAATCTTGCATTAAATTTTAATACATTTTTGCTTCAAAAAGATTAAGAATCTTTTAGAATAATTTATACCAATGCATGTTTTACATACGAATTATCAACTCTATAAGAGTCAAAGTTAGAGAAATGCAATGAATAATTTGAATTTTACAAATATTTCCATGCACTGTGAAAAATTTAAGCATACGTGAATTGCAATTAAATTATAATCTAATTAATCCAAGCAAACCTATGGATCAATTAGAAAGAAAATTAAGATAGATACCAACACAGAATTCATACTACAAAAAATATGCACAATTAATTATTTATGAAACATTACTAGTACATTAGTTGCACATTTGATAGCTATTGCTGCTATTTAATTAAAACTGAAATTATTTCAAGCTTATTTACAAAAGGCATTTAACATGCATGTAAACCACTTGGCACTTGAAAAAATTTCCTGAAATTGTTGCTCATGAACACATGAATATTAGCACACATATCAAGGCAATATATAATAACTAATCCAAGACACAAATATTGATGATTATTAAATAAATGAATTTATTGAATTAGTGCGTATAACTTTTTAATAAAAATACATTTGTAAAATTACTTTTTTTCCGTATTATAAATTTTCACAAGACTATTTCGTATTTCGGTAAATAGCAAGGCAATAATTTGTACTTAAGAATCTTTAAGGTTATTAAAATAATATATTATTTTATTTGCTTAGATAAATAAATTAATAAAGAATATTCAGCCTATTGATTAATAGTTAGATTATTTCAATGATTTCTTTATATATTTATATACTAATTTATTATTTTAATGAACTTTATAAAAATCATTACATGATATATTTTTAATGTACAGTGAAACCTCCGTTAAGCGGACATTCATGGGACCAAAAAATTTGTCCGTTTATGAGAGTTGTCCGTTTACGGGAAGGGTACCCTAATAACGAAATTTAACACCGTAAATTGTTTTTAGAATATTCTCAAAGATGTAGAAATAATTAAATAATATCTACAAGGATACTGTAAATATCTACAAGAATATTTATTTAAACAATAAGAAAGATAAAAAAGAATATATAAAGAAGTTTGATATAAATACATAATTCTGGATGTAGCTACAGATAAATAAATATAATTTTCCTATTAGCATAGATACTCAAGTTAGACATATGATACCAAATAGGAGCGTACTGTCCTCAGTCCGTTTCAATTATTAGGTTCACATCCCCTTACACCTACTTATCATTTGATAGGGAACATGGTTAATACCTTCTTGGAAAATAAACCTCCCATGATTCACAGAAAAAAAAGTAATGCATACCTGTAAGTCATGAGGACCTATGGAGATGATTATTCACAATTGATCAGCTATCAAGTGTCTGAATAAATGTTTCATTTATATAAACACCTCAAAGATTATACTTCTGTTCTCTTTTTTTTACCCCAGTTGTGTTAAATACAGTCTTCAAATTGATAAGAAAATTAAAGAAATTTTCAATGGGGAAGAAGCATTGAGAGAAGTCATTTCAACTTGAGGGGTCTCATAACCTGTGTGGTCCAGATGAAAAGATCAAAAGATGCCGATGTCAGAATTATTTCAGGAGTGCAGTACCATTTTCTCTCCTTTCTTTACAAAGATAAGGCAAGGTGACAGGAGAATTGATTTTTCGGTGGTGAAATAGCTTAACAATATATTTAGTTAAGGATAAGGCAAAAAGCTTTATTTACATGCTTTAAAAATGGTGAAAAGTTGAATTTTTTTAGCTTGCAATTTATTTAGAAAAAGGTGTCCGGTTTGTAGAGATAAAAAACAACGTTTCAGGACCATAATGACTGTCCGCGTCCGGTTACAGGAGTGTCCGCTTTGCGGAGAATGTACGTAATGGTTTATTCATTGAAGGTTTCCGGGGAATTAAAAATATGTCCGTATTGAGAGGCGTCCGTTTTGCAGGAGTGTCCATAACAGGAGGTTTCACTGTATCATGTAACCAATTCCTATTATTAGAACAATAATAGGAATTGGTTACAACAATAATAGGAATTGAATACATTACTATTTTACCCAATTCCTATTATTAGAACAATAAAATTAAATCAGAATTTTTTATGGATAATATTTACGATAATATTTCAAAAATTTCTTTAAAGGATTTTATAATATTTATTATTTTAATGATCATTATTAATAACGAATTATTGATAATAAACAATATGAAAATTCTTACTTAAGAGCTTTTAGTGTTATTGCAATTATACATTATTTTACCAATTATTTCTTAGAAAAAAAAATTAAAAATAATGAGCAATTAATAATGAATTACTGGTAATGAACACTATTAAAATCAAAGCTTTCAAGGTTATTAGAATCATTCAATATTTTTCCAATTTTCTTTTCTTAAAAAGGTAAAATTAGTGTTGAATACAATTAAATTAATAGATAACATTTATAATATTGTTTCAAACGATTGTCTATATGTTAATATTGAAAATTATTAATAATGAATTATTAAGAATAAGCAGAATGAAAATTCTTAATTTTGAATTTTCAAAATACTCATCAATTGTTACAATATTACTTTATTATACGGATTATTTATTAATAAAACAAAAGTTGAATAAAATACATTCAGTTTAACAAATATTTTTATTATTAAATGGATTTCTTAAAATTGTTCTTATTCTAACTATAACTTTAGGAATCATCAACATGCATGCCGAAGAATAGTATATACAAAATATTACATAAATGTCACCGTTTTAAAAGAATAAATGAAATAATATAAATAATGTAACTTACATCTAAGTGACTACATTCCACAAATATCCAAATTATATGCATCAATAAATTATCATCCCATTTAAGGATTTTATGCAATAAATTAATAAAGTCACTAGAACAATTCATCACTTGACAAATATGACATGAAGGTGATCCATATCGATAAAATGATGGCATATTTACATAGGAAATCTGGCATAATAGCCATCGTATGGTCTCAAGGTACTCTTCGTTTTCCAGTACAGCCCAGTGTACTGGATATTAAAACAGTACTATGGCATCAATTCGTTAGGAGGATGAAGCATTAGTACCAGGTACTACTTTAGAACTGGATGATTCGTCCTCGTCTTTTGATCGCAACTTGCGCCGCAATTTTTCCACAACTTTGATGTGGAATTTGTGAAGTGAAGTTTGAGAAACCGATTTTGGAGTTGGCATTTCACAAAGTCTACTACCCCTTCTAGGAGAGCAGCCCAGAGAAATTGCGGCCAAACGTTCTTCAACATCAGAACCTGGAGAACAAGAAAGGCTCACCGGTGCCGATTCGCTTTGTGTATGCCGACGACTATGCTGTGTTCCGGTGCTATTGGCACTACTGGTTCTCGAACGACTTGCATAAATATTGTAGTCGTTCTTCATAACAGGCATCATAAAAGCCATGATGGAAAATAATAGCTTTTCAAAGTAAAGAAATAGCAAGCGTAAATCGAAAGTAGAAGAAAAATCTGCTTTATTTGAATGTTTGTCAACAAATGTTTCTTTGACAGCAACCCTTGCCTGGCTTGTTAGAAAGGCGAGGAATGACGTAAAGAGGGGAAACAAAAAGCTTTATACAGGTTAGGAAAGAAAATCGATCATGTGACTCTCAGATTCTGTCGGTAGGGTTACAAACCTCGCCAACATGCATTTGGCGGGATAGATCATAATCAATTCTTTAACTACGCGCTAATGTTAAGTTGTTTAAATAATTTTTAAACTTGATTTAATTCGAATTAAATTGATTTTTATCTAGAATTCGAACTTAAATGTTTTTGCCTGACGCTTTTTTTATTTATTTAAAAAGAGAACGAAAAATTTTTGTGGATATTATTAAATTTTATGTATATTCTTTAACGAACGGGTAAAATAAAGAATTTTTGGGTAAGTTAATTATTTTTGTAAGATATTGTTTCAAAATAAATTTCTCATAATCTATTTTTTCACTATGTCGCGCCTAATACAAGTTCAAATAATTTTCAAAGTTATTAAATTGAGTTTTACAAAAATTGGAACTTCAATATTTTTTGATTGTCTCTTTTTTATTTTATTCTATTTTATATATATGTACTATATATATAAAAAGAAACATTTGTCTTTGTGGAAAAAATCAACTCATGTATTTATTTGAATGAGTATAGTAACTAATACTTATGTAAATACATTCAATTTGCCAAATCCCTTGGAGTTCTTCTAATAATCATAATTTTTTGCTGTGTGCCGTATTAAATTCACTCATTGCGCTTAAAAAAAAAGAGAGAGAAAAAAAAAAGTAAATGTGAAATTTTTAAATTTAAAATTAAAAAACAAATTTGGATCAGGTGTTGCTTACCTTCACTCATTCAGATAATTTAATTTTAATTTATTTATCACTTAATAAAATATGAATAACTAGTATATTTGGTGTATAAATTGAAAATAATTAGTTAAAATAACAAGAAAATCCATTTTTTTTATAAAATCAAAAAAATTATGTAGCCCTAAATTTTATCGTTTATCCTTTAATACAAATACTACTACTAATAATAATAATCATGATGAAACATAAAAATTTAATATTATAAGGTTATAGAATTTTATTAAAGTAAGGGCTCCGGCACTTACTTTAATAAAATTCTATTATTTCTCCATGTTCCTGTATCCTCTTCAATAACTGAGCTCTTCATAATATATATATATAACTTTATTATACGGATTATTTATTAATAAAATAAAAGTTGAATAAAATACATTCAGTTTAATAAATATTTTTATTATTAAATGGATTTCTTAATATGGTTCTTATTTTAACTATAACTTTAGGAATCATCAACATGCATGCCAAAGAATAGTATATGCAAAATATTACATAAATGTCACCGTTTTTAAAGAATAAATGAAATAATATAAATAATGTAACTTACATCTAAGTGACTACATTCCACAAATATCCAAATTATATGCATCAATAAATTATCATCCCATTTAAGGATTTTATGCAATAAATTAATAAAGTCACTAGAACAATTCATCACTTGACAATTATGACATGAAGGTGATCCATATCGATAAAATGATGGCATATTTACATAGGAAATCTGGCATAATAGCCATCGTATGGTCTCAAGGTACTCTTCGTTTTCCAGTACAGCCCAGTGTACTGGATATTAAAACAGTACTATGGCATCAATTCGTTAGGAGGATGAAGCATTATTACCAGGTACTACTTTAGAACTGGATGATTCGTCCTCGTCTTTTGATCGCAACTTGCGCCGCAATTTTTCCACAACTTTGATGTGGAATTTGTGAAGTGAAGTTTGAGAAACCGATTTTGGAGTTGGCATTTCACAAAGTCTACTACCCCTTCTAGGAGAGCAGCCCAGAGAAATTGCGGCCAAACGTTCTTCAACATCAGAACCTGGAGAACAAGAAAGGCTCACCGGTGCCGATTCGCTTTGTGTATGCCGACGACTATGCTGTGTTCCGGTGCTATTGGCACTACTGGTTCTCGAACGACTTGCATAAATATTGTAGTCGTTCTTCATAACAGGCATCATAAAAGCCATGATGGAAAATAATAGCTTTTCAAAGTAAAGAAATAGCAAGCGTAAATCGAAAGTAGAAGAAAAATCTGCTTTATTTGAATGTTTGTCAACAAATGTTTCTTTGACAGCAACCCTTGCCTGGCTTGTTAGAAAGGCGAGGAATGACGTAAAGAGGGGAAACAAAAAGCTTTATACAGGTTAGGAAAGAAAATCGATCATGTGACTCTCAGATTCTGTCGGTAGGGTTACAAACCTCGCCAATATGCATTTGGCGGGATAGATCATAATCAATTCTTTAACTACGCGCTAATGTTAAGTTGTTTAAATAATTTTTAAACTTGATTTAATTCGAATTAAATTGATTTTTATCTAGAATTCGAACTTAAATATTTTTACCTGACGCATTTTTTATTTTTTTAAAAAGAAAACGAAACATTTTTGTGGATATTATTAAATTATATGTATATTCTTTAACGAACGGGTAAAATAAAGAATTTTTGGGTAAGTGAAGTTAATTATTTTTGGGAGATATTGTTTAAAATAGATTACTCATGATCTATTTCTTCACTAAGTCGTGCCTAATACAAGTTCAAGTAATTTTCAAAGTTATTAATACAAAAATTGGAACTTTAATATTTTTGATTGTCTCTTTTTTATTTTTATTCTATTTTATATATATATGAAAAAAGAAACAATAATCTTTGTGGAAAAAATCAACTCATGCATTTACTTGAATGAGTATAGTAACTAATACTTATGTAAATGTATTTAATTCGCCAAATCCCTTGGAGTTTAAAAATTAAATCTGGGCAAATAATATTGCAGCTTTTTCACTTTAAATCATTAAAACTTTTAATAATCATAATTTTTTGCTGTGTGCTTTATTAAATTCACTCAAAAAAAGGAGAAAAAAAGTAAATGTGGAATTTTTAAATTTGAAATTAAGCATAGTATTTTAGAACTATACAATTCTTTTCTGTCATTTAAAAGTTAGTAAAAAAAGTATAGATAAAGCATTGATTAATGTTTAAAAATTTAGCATAGTTTGTATTCGTAAATTTTTTTCTTCCAAGTATCCTTTTAACATGTTTCATTACGTTTTCCTTGTTAAATTATGTGTTTTAATAACTGTATTATTTTAATGCAAATGAAGTGAATTACAGTTATTTATATAATTACAGTTAAAGAAAAATATTTAAAATAAAAATCAACTGAAGACTTTACTCCCATTTTTTTTTTTTTTTGTTGGTTTAATGATCTTATTCTTGTAATTTTGAATTCAATTATCCTACCCAAGATTTTAGAAGTTTTTAGAGTGAAAAAAAAATCGCACAGAAAAAACAACATTTGTAGATTTATGAATTTTTTTCTTAGCAAGAGTAAAATTTTATTCGGTGTTTAAATTTCGCCTTATACACTCTTTCTCACTATTTGTGTAATTC